AGTATCTTGGCCTCCCACTCTTTAATGGGTCGGCCACTAGATCTATGTGAGATCCTCTCATTCAAACTCCTCTAGTAGAGCTAGGTGGATGGAAGATCAGTCCTCATTAAAGCCACCCTATCCAATTTGCATATTTATTATTTGTCCCTTTTTGTGGCTCCTGCTTCATGAATTCACAAGATTGAATTGCTAATGAGAAACTTTTTGTGGAGTGGCTCTCAATTAAGAAAAAAGATATATTTGGTAAGATGGGCCTCAATCTATCTCCCTAAAAAGGAAATAAGTCTTGGAATTCAGAGAATAACGAGACCATGTTTATTAAATGGTGGTGGAGACTTGCTAATAATAGGGATTAACTTCGGGCAAAAGTCATCCTTGGAAAATAATGAGGGATCCAGATGGTTTTATTGCCAAAAAATGAACTAGACTTTCTAGACTCTCGTCAGTCTGGAAAGGGATTCATCGGGTTAGACCGCTATTTTTTGCCTATTATAGAATTTTGGTAGGGTATGGAGTACTACTAACTAGATTTTGGCATGCTAAATGGTTGGATGAATACCCTCTCAAACGTGTTTATCTTGATCTCTATAACAGATCTACGTAGAAACAGGAGGTGCTTGCAAATTTGGTTTATGTTTCTGGTGATCATTTGGTTTGAGATATCAGAATTGGCACCCAAAGGGTTGATGCTTCAATCGAAGAATAGTTTCAGGCGTTGCTAACATCGTTGTATACTATTTGTTACTATCCCAGGAAAACATATATGATAATCTGGTCACTGTAACCTAATGGTCAGTTCTCGGCTTCCTCCTTGTACCATGAGATCTTTAGAGGCCGTTATATTGATGATAGGCCTTCCCTTTCCAAGCTTTGGAATTGGAAAGCTCCCCATTAGGTCAAGACCTTTTTATGGCTTCTCGGATATAAAAGGCTGCTTATGATTGATCGGCTAAGGAGAATGGGGTTCATCATTACGAATGTCTGTTTACTTTACAAAATGATGAAAAATCTATTGACCATATCTTCATTCACTGCGTTTTTTCTACAGCTTTATGGGATTAGTTGTTGAGCTCGGCAAACTGGATTTGTCCCAGACATGCCGAGACACATGCATGGTTACAACAACGGTGGTCCCCTCCCTTCTCTTTTGAGAACCTTATTTACCTTTGGCACATGGTGGTCACAATTAATTTTGACCATTGGATGTGAAATTGGGTAGTTGCATTCATTTTATTGACCAAGCTCAAAGTTCAAACAAAATTTTTTCGAACTTATGACACACTAAGCTATCAGATTTCATATCGGATGGTTGTAAGTAATTATGACATCCCCGTACTAAAAGAAAATGGTCTTATATCGTATTAGCAATACATAACAATAAAATTAGGGAAAATATCTTCATACCCCCTACTTTTAAGTTTTATATCTCAAAATAGCCAAGGTTTCAAAATATTTATTGGGTCATATAAATTCCAAATCTTGTATCTTCTAACCCCTTAAGCTAACTTTATCCCCTTTAAACCTATTTTTTTGCCCCAAACAAATATAATAAAGACATATTATTTTTTAACACCAATATTTCTCTCTCTTCACGTGAATTTCTCCTAAATCTCTTTCCATGACTTTTTCCAAACCCTCTCTCTCTCTCCCCCTATTTTCCCATTCTTTCTCTCTCCCTAATTTATTTTTATATATATATTTGCTTGATTTCTTTGGATTTTTTCTATTGATTGATTGGATATTATTTGCATGAATGATTAACTGTATATAGATTGTGCTTATTTTTTTAACCCAAACTGAGAGAGGGGTTTCGGGAAACACGGGGTAGAGAGAGAAAGCGAGACCTAAAGAGAGAAAGTGGTGAAAAATGCAGAGAGAGAGAGAGAGAAGGGGTTTGGAAAAATCTCAAAGAAAAGAGAGAAAGAGAGAAATTTGGGGGGAATATACCATGTAAAGAGAGGAAGGGTTTAGAATGATCGTATCTTTTTTATATTTGTTAGAGCTAAAAAATAGTTAAAAGTAGGTAAAGTTAGTCAGGGGGTTAGGAGATATATTTTGAATCCTTGGGTCCATTGAGATATGAAAACCAAAAATAAAAAGTACAGGGATATTTTCCCATAAAGTATAAGCATATTCATAAACAATTTATTAGTATTCTAATTTTTTTAAAGTGTCATAATGTTCATTATCACAATCATATTACAAATATATTTAATAATAGTTATATCTATTATGATTTAAGGGAGAATTCCAAAGGTTTAGAGAGTAAAATTGGAAAGCAAGAAAGATTATCGGCAAAAGAAGCAAATATCAGACCGCCTAGCGCCTAGGCGTCCAAAAGGCCTGGTCGCATCTCCTAGGCTTAGGCGGCCAAATTGGGCGGTGGTCTCTGGGCGGCCGCCTAGGCGGTACGGAACCCACCAAGGCGCCCGCCCAGTGCTCAGCTCTGAGCGGCCACCCAGGACCTGTTCCTCGCCCAGAGGCGAAAAAGTTTTTTTGGTTTTTTTTTTTCATTTCTTTTAAGATATAAAAGTTTAGAAAGATAGGTTTTAGGTTCATTTAAAAGAAACCCTTTTAGAGAGAAAGAAACATCCAAAAAACTGCATTTCATTGGATCGAATCATCAAAGTCTTTCTCAAAGTTTGGAGTTCAAGCAACCAAAATAAGTGCAACTTTTAGATTGCTTGTTTTATTTTGAGATGTCTTCTTCAAGAGCTAGCCAAAGTGAAAATCTTGGTTGGAAATATGGATACAACCCGAATCCGAATGACAAAAATTGTGTTAGATGCAATTTTTATAAAAAAGATACATAACCGATTTAAAAAACATCTTGTCGGTAATAAGGGGGATGTTGCCCTTTGTGAAAATGTTCCTGAAGCGATCAGATAGGAGATTAAACAATTTATAAGTTGTATAAAACAAAAACAAGAACAAAATCGTTATCATTGATCTATTCTTGCTACTCTTAGAAAAGTGACTCGGGTTGGAAGTATGGGTATAACCTAAAACCAAATGATAAAAGTTGTATAAGATGTAATTTTTGTGAAAAAGATACCAATTGGGGTATTAGCCAATCAAAAATACCTTGCTGGTGTTAGAAGTAATGTTGCTTCTTGTACAGAGGTTCTTGAAGCAAGTCGAGAAGAGATTAAACATCTTCTGAATTTTGAAGAACCAGAAAAGAATGAAAACAAGCCTTATTCTATGGAAGTATCTTCTCCAAGTTCTAAACGGAATGGTGATCCAGGTTAGAAGTATGATTATAACCCCAATCCAAGTGATAAAAATCATATTAAATATAGTTATTGTGGAAATGATACTAATTGGGGCATTTACCGATTTAAAAAACTCCTTACCGGTATTAAAGAGGATGTTGCCCTTTGTAAAAATGTTTTCTGAGGATACCAATGAGGAAATTATACAATATTTGAATTCAAAGAAACACAAACAAAATGGTAGAGCAGTCAATAGTCCTAAGGCCTCATCTGCACAAACTAGTATGAAAAAGGTAGAAGAAGAAGAAGAAGAGGAAAAGACAGATCCAGAAGAAAGAGAAGAGAACGAACATTATATTGAAAAAAAAGATAACTCTAATGATGATGGCCTCGACGCTGATGCATATGATGAAACTTATCCTATTGATACTCCTTCTGATGAGATGATGATAACGACAACTTCAGACTCTTGTCTCTTGGTGCTAAATGTTGAGTCGGTTGACTTTTGTGTTGAGTCATGAGTGTTGAATTTTATTATACTGTATATTTTCTACATTTTTGTTAGATTGAGTGTTGACTTTTATATCATATCTACACTTGTCTGGTTTTACAATTTTATTATTTTAACAATATGAATTATCAAAATTCTCTTCTCAACATCTATCTTCTTTTTTTTCAACTTGAAATATGATATTACATTGGTAATAATTTTGTATGGTTTTTATTTTTTTTCAAATTTCAACTCGCAGCCGCCCAAGTTCTAGGTGCTAGGCGGCCTGAACCTCCAAGCCTCCTAAAACCTGCCTAGCGCTTTTTGATACACTGAATGGAATAGATAAATACATGTCAACTGCATTAGAATTCAAACCTTAAATGCATGGCACATAAAATTCCGGCGAATATTTGTCATAGTGCACACAAGCATGTGGATGCATGAAAGAGAGAGCGAGAGAGAGAGAGAGAATTATGCAGGAAATATGCTTTTTCCGTTTCTTATCATCTCTCATTTCCAATTGCTCCAGAGTTTGACAGGGACCAAATCACATTGTACAAACAAATAATGATAAACAAAAACTATACATCAGAAGAAAATCTGTTCGAGCATCTTACCATCCAAAATGCTCATATTCATTTGGAAATTATACTGGGATGAGACCAGGGACATAACGAGACAAAACCTCAACAAGTATAAACAGGGGCACAAGTTTTACAACCACCACCAAAGAGAGATGGACATTTCTCTCCGAGTCATAACCACTTTGGCCAAGAAAACCAACAAACAAACTTAATGCCCATCTTCATTCAGCTGCAGCTGCTCCTGCCATCTTCCCCTCCTAGTAAGAATAATAAGTTGTCAAGAAGCTAATCATTGTTTCGACTTTTGAAACTCTAACCATCAAAAGCTCTCTCTTACACAACCCCATGCAAGCCCAGGTAACTTCAGATATAAATACCAAAACCTATGAATTGCCAGGGAAATCCTTTTCATGCTCCACAGGTTGGAAAATGTATCGACATTTCTCTCTCTCTCTC